TGTTTATTCTAAACCAATAACTTAGAATCCTCCTGATGGTGTTCGTTACAGATGTTTTTCCAATCCTGGACCACACAGCTAATTTATTCCAGATTGAAGGCAATCCATTGAGCAGATCAAGAACCAGCTTATTCTCGTTCTTGCGCAGATTCTCATGCTGATTTTCTCACTAATGTGCTCATCCCTTATGGAAGAATTCAGATTCTTTATCCGTCTTCCATTTATCAAGAGCGAAGATATCAATCCCACTAAAGCTAGTCATTCCGGCATGTCACCAGAACATCTCAGTCTCGCCCAACAAGAATGTACTCAGCTTTATCTCAAGGATTGCTTGAACCCACAGACTCTCAATGGGCATGTGAAGCTTTTATGTCAATAAACGGGCAGAACAGGCCAGAGGAAAACTCAGACTGGTCATCAATTATCAGCCCTTGAATTTCTTCCTTCGTGATGATAAATTTCCTCTGCCTTCCAGACAAGTTCTTTTTGCAAATCTCATAATGCAAAGATGGTTTCAAAATTTGATCTCAAACGTGGCTTTGGCAACTTGGAATTCATCCTGATGATCGTCATAAGACTGCTTTCTGTATACCCAATCACCCTACCAGTGGACAGTCATGCCTTTTGGACTAAAAGTCGCCTTCCTGTTCCAGAAGCATGACGAAGATTTTTGCTCCCCTCGCAACATGTCTCATTTATATCGTGATATCCTTCTCTTTTCAAAAGAGAGGAATCTCATATACGTCTTCTTCGTGACTTTGCTGAATCATCCACACCTATGGTATCATGCTCTTGAGGAAAATGCAATTGGGGCAAACAAAGATTGATTTTCTCGGTATGGTGATTGCTGACGGCAAGTATGATCTTCAGCCTCTATTGCTAATGAATTGCAAAAATTCCCAGATGTTCTCACACCAAGAAAGAAATACACAATTCTTGGGAATTGCCAATTACATGCGCTGTTTCATCCCCAACATTTCTCGTTTCACTACTCCACTTTCCCAGATGCTAAGAAGAATCCTCCAGAATGGTCTGAAAAGCAGACAAATGCAGTCAAGAGTCTCAAGCGTCATCTTCCATACACAGCCATTGAAGATTCTTCTTCGGGGAAACGCATTCTTCAGACGGATGCTAGTGACACTCATTGGGTGCAGTACTTTTGGAACAAGATGACGACAAGGTACGACATCTGTGCGGATACCAGAGTGGACCATTCAAACCACACCAGCAGCTTATCATTCTTACTTTCAAGGAAGTATTAGCATCAAAAATGCCATTGAAAGGTTTGAATTCCACCTTGTTGGACATATTTCTTCGTTGAAACGGATATGAAGTTCTTTGATCAAATGCTACGTTTCCACAAGAAAAAAGTCCACATCAACAGTTACTTGCTGGGCAGAATGGTTCAGTAAATATTCCTTCACCGTCCAGCATATCAAAGGTCACACCAACACCATTGCAGATTATTTATCCAGACCTAAAAACTAAACGAGGTGGTTTCCTAAACCCTAGATCCAAACCTCTTCACTGTTTTATGTTCCAACCATTAACCAGTCCAGTTCCTGGTATCATCCTCTACCAAAACGTTCTCCGATGTACCTCCTGAATTTGATGACCTTGTTCGAACTCGTACCATTGATGAAAATGCTATCACTCTCAGTTTCTTACCAACTTCAATGCATTGAAAAATGCGGTCAATCCATATGATATGTTAGGGGTCCATCCAGATACCCTTTTCAAAAATCTTTTGTACCTCCAGGTCTTGATATCATATTTCCAGCAGAATATTATGGTTCTTTTGGTAATGTTACATCAATACCACATGCTATTCAATTCCCGATCCATCATATGTTGAAAATAATTTCCAATACCAGTCAACCTCAACCCCTGAATTGCACTCTTTGATGACTTTTCTCCGATGGTTCAAAACCCTCGACAAATGGAAATCTGTGTTTGCTCACCAACTTGCCCGATACAAAGGTCCTATGTCTACCAAAATGGCATGGTCTATAATGTTTTTCACAGACATCACTCTATCCGATCTGATGGCATATATTTTTCTCACCATCAAGCCACTTTTCATCGGTCTTATCCATACGATCTGTCCATAGTATGTTTGATCATCCTATGTGACTAGATCAATTCAAAAAATCCTTTTTGAAAAAAATCAGATCATTCCAGATGCACTATGGCATCCTTTCACGATGAGCTCCGTGGGAATTCTTTCTCTAGACTACACTGAGAAATTGCTCCAAGCCAAACAGACGTGCATACGTTCCATCAATGCTCAATCCGATGACAATTCATCTTATCCCGAATGGTGGGTACCCAGACTCACAACCAGATACGTGCAGGAGAGAGAGCTTCAGTAGGCTCGTGATACATATCTCCATAAATCCAGGCGACAACAATACGTGAATGCACCACATACATCTGTAGCGCAAATCTCAGATTCAGACATTCTTCGGATACTCATCCATACTCTCCCCGACAAATCCCTGCTAACGGTTCAATCAATGGGTGTGTCTCGACTTCCAGGATGAAGAATCGTGGGACGTTACCATTGTCAGACGACTAAAGATCTGCGCGCCTTTAATTAAATTAAATGCTGGTGCTTTATGTAAAAATGAGTGGACTAAATGGTAATTTGCCTTTTCATTGTAATTTCTCCCGTAGCCTTTGTAAAAAAGTCAAGGTTTGTAAGCTTTAGCTTTGTCAACAATTGTAGGTACTTAATGAAAAAAAAAAAAAAAAAAGCCAAAGTCAAAAAGGTTGTCGTACTTAATGCCTCATTTATGAGAGCTTGTCTCCTTTGTTTCTATAAATAAAGGCTTTCCCCTTCCCGGGAGGAGGAGGAATTTGTTGTAAAACTTTGCAAACACTTTTATTTCTCTCACTCTTTTTCCATACATTTCCATACTTTCTCTACACATCTTCCTAAATTTCTTCCATGTTTCTTTCATATTTCTAAGTTTCCCTCAACCTCAAGGGTGTTGTAATACTCTGAAAATGTTATAGATAGCAAAAGATCCGATATATGTTTTAATTTATGTGTTAATTTATGTTCTTTAACATGTTTAATATTTATGTTTTCATTTATGTTCTTGTTCTTCATTTATGTACATGTTCTTCATTTATATTTATGTTCTCTATTTATGTGGTTGTTTAATATTCACTAGCCCTTTTAGATGGTGTTAGAATCTGTGTGGGTGTACGTGTGTGTGGGATAAAAGGAGGGTCTTGACCATTTTTAGACTGATCGTTGTGTTGATTGGTTCCGCTTAGGTCGGCTATCATAGTTTCCCACATGCATAAACTCCATGATTTTCTGACAACATCTCTAAGGTCTAGTAACCCTTGTGCAATCATATATATTATATATACCTATATTAATTTTAATATTTGAAAATCAATCATATATTATACAATAACAAATTATAATTGTGTAAGTATTTTATAAAACCATATACAAATAGGTAATAAATAAAACTGAATTAAATATAATAAATCATTATATATATATATATTAATGCTATGAAACAAAAGTTATATATCCGACATTATACATTATATATGGTATATAAGTATATAACATATATATGTTCTACATTATATATAATATATTATTATCTATAATCATATGTTAACTAACACGACCCGTCCCAACCCTCCTTATCCCATAGGCTCCGGGCGCACCCATGAGACTCGGGTGATCGAGATGTGCCATGTGGGAAAACTATAAAACCTGTTTATAAATAAAATATCGTAAAAATGTAACGTCATTTGCATATAAACAAATGTAATTGAAATTGTCATAAAATGAAATGTATGGTATCAGATTTTTCCATATCTTTACTAATCCAGAAGGACCAGAACAAGAAATAAAATTTAATAAAACTCCATAAAAAAAAGTACGGGGTATTACATTAACACATAATATATATATATTATATATGTGTAATATATCATTTGGTGTTTTGATTGATTATAATAAATCAATAAATCATTATATATTTAATTTCTTTTTAGATAGTATATTATAATTTGAAGAAAATGGTAATAAGGACATAAAAAGACACAAAACTCCCAAGCGGGGAATTCGAAGATTTGGGGAACGGGCTTTATTCGAGGATTCCCCAAATTCTTCGAACAGGCTACGGGCCAGGATCGGGGAATCCCCTTGGGCTTTTAGGCAGAGGCCGGAGACAGGGGTCCCCGACCTATGCCCATCCTTAACGAAAACACTTCCCTTAGCCTCCTGACCAAAACCCATCTCACCGTTCTCCCATTCGCCTCCCCAATCATTGTCAACAACAAGCTTTTTCTAGTGACATAGTTTTACAATTTTCGGTCCATTCACTCACTAGAAATCACCACCGCCTTACATCATTGCACTCACCAGTCATTCTTCTTCAAAAACCTTAACATTTTAACCTTCAATTGTTCACATATTGATGTCCTAATTTCTAAGGTTTTCAATTAATAGAAAAATTTGTAACCTGACCCAATGAAGGCCTTGGGTCCGATTGAACCAATTCAATTGGCCAGGCCGAGCCGGGCTAGGTTTTAAAACACTAACATAAACTCAAAACAAATTTATTCTAACAACATAATCTCAAATTAATAAACTCTAAAATCTTAAACCTCAAGACATAACACAGAATTATGGATGGGCAATTAGAGGGGTTCATAATCGTGAGAGCATGCAAAACCTTAAACGCTAATTGTGTTGAGATCAAGCATGATCCTCATAATGAATCACACCTTGACAACGTTCTTGTGGTTTTGTCGGGGTGTTTAGGGTGGTGGTGATTGAAGATGGTTGAAGTGGCCATCGTGTTCAGTGGTTAGGGACAGGGTGTTTAGTTTGTTGAAGAAATGTGTGTCTGTGTTTAATTAAAACCTTTTAATAATATGCACCTTGCACCCTACTGGATGAGCTATTCAAGAATCAAGACTACCTTCATAAATATATTCCTGTTCGGCTGTAACACAAGGTACTCCAAACAAAACCATTCAACCATCTATTTCTCAATCAAATCTCATACAATCAAATTAACTCATAACCTCACCTCACTTGTCTTAACAAAGTTTAGAATTCATTACCAGAAAGTTAAAATTCAACAGTACATAGATATATAAAAGTCTCAATTATGAATTTGGATGGAGTCGGATAGAGAATGCAATGTCGAGCAAGAAATCCGGTTGAGAATGGTTACACAGGTCACACTGATTATACAAGCAACATAACACAATTTTATCACACAAAATATAGGGCCAAGATTGGATTAAAGCTAATCATCATCTTCCAAAACACTCCGGCGCCTCTGGATCTGAAATATCGGAGCATGTCAAGGCAACAAATGAGGAAAAAGATCATGAACAAAGAAATAAAATACAAGCATTCAGAGACGATGATAAATTGTGAGGTGACTTACAGTGACTTTGGTCTGTTTGCTGTTTTGGGTGTTAATTTGTTCCAGCAATGATATCAGCCTTTCTTCAGAAACCTACATAGAAACATCAGTCAAGTATGATTGTGCTTGATAGTAACATTTTCTTGAATTAGTGCTAGGCACCCAACAACCAGCTTGCATTCAATAAAGGGGACTGAGACACAATAAATTTCCACCATACCTTCTCACCTATTTGGCCCATTTGAGCAGCTCTCAGTAAAATATCCTCAACTCCTCTTGCTTTCTCAGGTTTCACCAAAGCAATTCGAGAAACTGTGCAAATAGTATATTAGCATAGGAAATATATGATGCCAACTATTTATGAGATAAAAATATAAGTAAGATCAATATATTAACAGTGCAAAGAGTTATTTTAACAAATAGCTAGGCCCAGTAACTTTGCCTGCTGCTGAAATGCTAACCCTTTATCTGTTCTACTAAGAGCTATACAGTTTACTATCAACATAGTAGTTTCAGATCGGAGTTTCCATTAAACTGCACATCTCACACAAAAAGACTGAGCAATTTGATTACTATAATTGGTGTTCAACCTCCAACACAAACACCCATAACTTCTCAAACCTTCTATTTGTCAATCTATGCGATAATTATACATATTTCTCCCAATGAATATAGATGGGAAAAATAAATATTTTACTGTCAAAAGGTCAAGTATCAAACGTACGTCTTTCACGTGCTTCGGATGACAAAATCTGACTAAGCATCATTTGCCTTTGCTCATCTGCCTCCCTAAGATAATCACTCAAATCTCAGGATCAACAAAGCATATTCAAAAATTAAAATGAAATAATAACAAGGTAAAATCCTACAAATGCAAAGAATAAGTTTTCCATGATGTAACACACAGATTCAAAAACATACCTCTGGGCCTCTTCCTGTGCTTTCTGCTGCTCATTGTTTTGTTGACTACCCTGTATAACAATTACACTTGATCGGTACCATTCACATTAAAGGCAAGATAAGCCAATACGAATTTCAGTGAAATGTTGAGAAATTAAAAAGAGGTGATCAATTACCATGCCACGTTGAGCCATGAGCTCTTGCATTCTTCTTTGTCTGATTGCTTCTAATTCAGGATCAGCCTAATAACAAGAAGGGACAAATTCAATCTCCAGTAAGTACAGCTAAATCCAGAGAGATAGACAGGTAGAGGAAATATCAAATTAATGTTTTCCTTTTGGAAACATAGTCTATATGGCTTCATTAAACTAGGAGTAGAAAAAAGGAAAAGCAATTACTCTAAATACCAAAGTTTTCCCGGTATGGCCACAGATCTAGACCCAACTCAACTTAAACTATTATAGCTAAAAAACTTATAACAAAAATTGTATTGATGGCCAAAAGATATCTCCCTAGTATGAATATCATCCAAATGTAGACCACTCATTCAACAGACATATAGATAAAACAAGCATGATAGATCAAGCTAGCTGCTTAAACAAATAAGTAATAGTCTTTGGAGTATCTCTTCAATAGACTCTCTTCAGGATCATTGCCAATCAGTGAGTTCCCAACATCAAAAGTTAATAAGCAGGAATTGATACCAACGTAATTCATCATCTAATTAAATAATATAATAAATACATTATGTTGCCAGCCGTAAAATCTCTTGTAAAGTTTTTAAGCTGATTAACAACAAAAGGCCTAAGGTAATGTAATCAAAATGCATACAGAAAATTTAGACATCTACTAGGAACCCACTTCAGAATTTTCTAGCATTCCCAATTAAAAAAAAAAGGCATAATTATTCCACACTTAGATGGTATCATATTCAACAACTTATGCAATGTGATTAGTGAAAGCAGTAATCATAAACTTCTCCTGGAAAAATTAAAATCTACTCAAGACAAGTTTACTTCCAGCATAATTTTGTTTATCATATCATATCTCAAAATAATATTAATAATAACCTCGAGAATTACTTATCGAACCAAAGTAAAGTTTAACCTAAACCAAAACTAGCTTAGTGTTTCAATTATGAACATTCAACTCATAGAAAAGCAAACGAAAAAGAAATAAAACTGATTCAATTAAAGTTCCGATTTCCAATAAATAATTTATAAGCATGAAATAATAAAACCCTAGCTAGAGTGTTTGGATTGCCAAGAAGAGGAAAACACTTACCATATTGATAAGATTGAATGAACAAACGCGGCCTTGTTGTGTGTTTGGAGTTGTTTTGGGATGCGATCTCTCCTTCTCTGTCAAACACGATTGTTTGGATACGGCTTAGCGTTTTTCAAACGGCACTTTCCTGCCTTTTGTTGAGCAGGATTTTTTTTTTTTTTTTTCTTCTTTTCTAAATTAAAAAAAAAATATATATACATATATATATATATATACACACACACACATTAATTGATATCAAATCTCGGGCCGGGTCGTGGTGTCCCAGTTCCAGCCCCGCCACCAGCCCTAGGACAAGTGACGTCCAGGGTTTGAAGGTGAAGCCCATTTAGGTGCCCTGTGCCAACGGCCCCAATCCTGTCTAACGAATTAGGGTTAACAAAGTGTTCCCACCCCCAAAATGGCCCATTGATACATACCCGCCCACTTTTTAAATACCTTTTCAGTACCCAAATATTATGTTTTGGGTGAGAAATATAGTGATTTACAAAAAAATTCCTCTTTTTTCTTGTCTTCTTAACCTCTTCCATTGCCGACAATTGTCATAATTGGATGCTGAGAGTTAGGTGCGGCAATAAATCGAATAGGTGGTGAGCAACTTTAGGGTAGTGAGGTTGGAGTGATCTGGGAGAGAACGGTGGCCAGAAAAAACACAACACCAACACAACCAATCAAAACCCACTAATCGAGCACCAAAAACCCAACGATCGCACATGGTGACTGTCCCATGGCAGAAAGAGCTAGACGCGGGCAAAAAATGGCAAGCACGGAGGGCTAGGGGAGGGGTGGGTTTTGAAGAGCAGAGGGTGGGGAGTTGAACGGTCGTGATAGGGGAGATTTCGGTGACTGAATTGCCTAGAAAAAGGCCGGAAAGATGGAAAATCATGCAAAAACTTAGGTGGCGATTAGCAAGTGCACCAGGCTCGAGGTGAACGGATTAAGGGTGAGAAAGGCTCAAGGAAGAGGATAGGGGAGGCAGTGCGTTTCAAGGTGGATTTCCAACACCGAGAACGACCGAAAATTCAGTTTGAAGAGTTAGTTGTGTGAATGGAGGTGGTGGTGGTAAATGGTGAGTGATGACGACAAATGGAGGCTTGAGCTTTGTAGAGGAGGTGATAAGGATTCTGTGGGTGGTCTCGAAAGTTATTTTGGACATCGGGATCTACCAAAAAACAACAAAAATCGTCAGTTGCGACGTTGCTAACGTGCACCATCTCTTGCTAATGTAAACCGTCCTTATTTCTTTTCTCTTCATCGATAGCCAAATGTTTGTTAACCATTCTATCCTTACTAATAACAAACTTTTGACCATTTTATTCTTTCTAAAGGTGGAAAAGCAACTCGCCCAGCTTGACCCGACCCGGCCTACGGCGGGTTACTGCAAATGGCTGGTCGGTCTTGACTCGCTCGGCGACATTAACGGGCCAGGTTAGGCCTGCCAAGATTAGAGAATTGGTTGGCCCAACCCGGACCGCCAACCCTAACCCGCCAGGTTAGGCGCGGGTTGGGCCGGGTTAACCCGCTTTTTGATTTTTTTTTTTAATTTTGTTTTGTTTTATTTTATTTAAGTTTAAATATTTAATTAACTTTTCAAATGAATAATTAACAATTTATAAATGTAATTGTTTTTAGTTAATTGTTAATTTCTTTTCAAATATCGATAATTAAATTAAATTAATTTTTTTTTGGTTAACATTCCAAATATTAATTCAATTTTAATACATTAAAATTATAATAT